TTACATGTTTTCAGCGTTACCCCGTGTTGATTTTGTCTGAAAACGTAACCCAAATCCACGGAATAAGCAGCTTCACGGATCCTGCAAGGCCGTGTTTATCACTATTACAGATTTAATTACTACTATTGACATTTACCCACCCGTGAATTGTTAGTTGATCTTTGCGAATACTTGGACGACGCGGACCGTACTTTTCTCATGTTTGGGGCACGTTTCGGGGGGAAGTGTAACTCAATCACCGCTTTTTTTTTTTTGGACTTCTTCTTCCACTCCACATGACGAGGTGCCAGATGCGTTTTTGGAGCTTTTCAGACTTCATCCCCTGCCACATCCACAAAAAACAAAAAAAAAGCGTCTATTTAAAGTTTGTTATCTAATTGTAAATGGTACTTCTTTGTTCGTCGGGATCCAAACGAGCTGACAGCTGTGGAAGAGAAGTTGTATTTTGGATAAATCAAAGGCTTTGTCACACATACACAAAGCAATAAAACTTGTTTGGTAGCAACGGGCAAAGGGGCCGGACCATGTGCTGTTGACGTGTGATGTGGCACTTTAGGCTGGATGGTGCAGAGCTGTGGAAGAAGTACTGCGCTTTTGTTGAGTAAAAGTACACATACAGGAGCAAAAAAAGACCCAAAAGTACAAGTATCGCATGTAAAAAGTAAAAGTTTTAAAGTATCTGTTTAAAAATGTGCTTAAAGATTAAAAATTGAAGTCAGATTCAGTCAGATTTTGAGATTTTGATACAGATTTGTGCAGAATTTATGTTCAAATGTTCAAAATAAACCCTTAGTCTTTCCAGCAAGTCTCAAACTATCATAAAAATACTTTTACTTTTCAGTCCTGCTCAAAAATGTAGTGGAGTAGAAAGTACAGATACTCTCAGATGAGGTGTAGTAAAAGTAAAAAGTACCCACTGTAAAATGTACTTAAGTAAAGTATAGATTCCTAAAATGTGTACTTAAGTGCAGTATTGTACTACTTTTACTTTGTTCTGTCCTTGTGCAAAAGTACAAGTATCACATGTAAAAAATGACTTAAGTAAAAGTTTTAAAGTACCTGTTAAAAATGTGCTTAAAAAGTAAAAAGTAAAGTCAGGTTCAGTCAGATTTTAAGATTTTGATACAGATTTGTGCAGTATTTGTGTTCAAATGTTCAAAATAAACCCTCAGTCTTTCCAGCAAGTCTCAAACTATCATAAAAAATACTTTTATGACTCTACTTTTCAGTCCTGTTTGGATTTTGAGGCCCAATAAAGTTTCAAATGTAAAGATTTTGATGCAGATTTGTGAAGAATTTTGTCCAATAGCAAAAATTTAATCGAGCTGTTTTTATTTGTATATTTCTGTTTGCTCAAATTATGAAAAATAAACCCTCAGTCTTTTCAAACAGGTCTAAAAATATCATAAAAATACTTTTACTTTTCAGTTCTCCTCAAAATTATATTGGTTTAGAAAGTACAGATACCTGATCTCAAATGTAGAGTAGTAAAAGTAAAAAGTACCCACTGTAAAATGTACTTAAGTAAAGTACAGGTTCCTAAAATGTGTACTTAAGTGTAGTATTTGTCTACTTTTACTCTGTTCTAACCAGGCCTGGTGCAAAAGTACAAGTATCACATGTAAAAATCAATTTAAGTAAAAGTTTTAAAGTAGCTGTTTAAAAATGTGCCTAAAGAGTAAAAAGTAAAAGTATTTCACTCAGATTTTGAGATTTAGTAAAGCTTCAAATGTAGTGATTTTTATACAAATTTGTGAAGAATTTTGTTCAGGAGAAAGAATTTAATTGAGCTGTTTTTATTTGTATATTTCTGTTTGGTCAAATTAGACGTAAGTAAGACATAAGTGATCTTAAAAGTATGAATTTATTTATTTGAAATAGTTTGCAGTAACCCATAACTTCATCGCACTGAGTTTTTTTGCTGTTACAATCATGGAATCAACAACAGCCTCGTTTTGACTTCCTTCACTGGTGAAAGTAGTTACTTTTAAAAAGTACAGATACCAAAAGCAAAAAAATACCCAAGTAAAAGTATAAAATGAAGAAAATCAACTTCAGTAAAAGTATTAAAGTAGTTGTTTAAAAAAATACTTAAAGAATAAAAAGTAAAGTCAGAGTCGGTCAGATTTTGAAATTTTGATTTGTGCAGAATTTGTGTTCAAATGTTCAAAATAAACCCTCAGTCTCTTCAACATGTGTCAAACTATCATAAAAAATACTTTTACTTTTCAGTAAAAGTAAAAAAATATAGTGTAGTAGAAAGTACAGATACGTGCCCTCAGGTGTAGTGAAGGAAAAGTAAAAAGTACACAGTGTAAAATGTACATAAGTAAAGTACAGATGATTAAAATGTATACTTAAGTGCAGTATGTGTGTACTTTTACTGTGTAGTACAGGGGCCTGGTGCAGAGGGCCCGGGCTGTGGTTCAGATCCACACTGACAGAGGGGAGACGATGCCCTCTACAGTTAACACCAGTCAGGGGGCTCCACTACATTATCATCTACTGACCTTTGAACACTTTGAAAACACTTTTTTTTCTAGAGGCCAGAGGTGGAACGGAACAAAGTCAAAGTAGTAAAGTACTGTACTGAAGTAAGAATGTAAAGTATCTTCACTCAAGTAGATTTTAAAGTGGATATTTTTTTACTTTTCCTTCACTACATTTGAGAGCAGGTATTTGTACTTTCTACTCCACTACATTTTTGAACAGGACTGAAAAGTAAAAGTATTTTTTATTATAGTTTGAGACCTGCAGAAAAGACTGAGGGTTTATTTTGAACAAATCTGTATTTGGAAGAAACAAAAATACACAAATAAAAACAGCATAAATCTGTATCAAAATCACTTCATGTGAAGCCTTATTACACTTCAAAATCTGCTTGAAATACTTTAATGTTTTACTTTAAATGCATTTTTAAACAGTATCAATTAAAAAATATTTAATACTTTTACTTAAGTAACAAAATAGAGTACTTCTTGCAATACTGCTGCTTTCTTAATGTTGATCTTATTATGAACATTAGAGTGGAACATGATTCAGAAATACACACAAATGTCCAGCTCATAGTTGAACCAATAAAAATGACTTATATATGGAAGATGTACACATTGAAAGTAGTGTTCTGTGACGTCTGTACAGAGTAAAGTAAATAGTTTGATGTGAGATGAACATTTTGACCTTCTGTGGTTTGATTTGGTCTTTTATGTAAAATGTTGATGATACAGTTTTGTGTGCTGAGGATTTAAAGACACTGGATTTTCTTTATGATAATGAATTGTTAGAACATCGTTAGACACAGATGGAGGTGTGTTGGTGTTTAAACGACCAGTATTCTATGAACGCTTTTATTAATACGTGTAGATCACTGGTGTGGATTAAAGAGTCTGAACACACTGGATTGTAAATGTCATCTTGGAGAATGAAGCGTTTTCTAAAGAACTGTGTTTATTTGTTTGAGCAGGCTTTAGTTACATAAGGTCTAAGCTTTGATCAACATCAGAAGCCTGACTTCTATCATATTTTATAATCCTTTATTAGTGCCCCCTAGTGACTAAGTGCCAGTACTTTTCAATCATTTGGCTCAGAGTCTTGCTTTATATCACATGTGGTTCTTTTTATTATGGTAATGTTTAGTTTTATTGATTGAATTGTTCTTTTTTCCATGTATCTGTCGGTTTGGACACCTGACGCGTGCACGTGTGGGTTTTGAGGCCATACTCTGCTGATTAACCTATCGAGTTCTTTACAGGCTTCTCAGGGAGAGAAAACACCTCGTAGAGCTTTAATTATGCGGAGCTTTGTGCCACCATTTATTTGCCAAGTTGTCTGCGGCCGAAAAGACAAATGTGTGTGTCCAGTGACAAGGCCCGAGGCCGCGGCGTGTCCCCGCGGCCATAAATCGGGCCGTGTGTTAAACAGAATACCTGTACACCTGCACAACAGCTCTCCCCTGCGCCCGAGTGAAACTCTACTCTGGCTGAGTCAGCGCTCTCCGGTGACGCACGCAGCCCTGTTCCTCACTGGCTGCGAGCGGCTCCGTGGACAGTAACACTACACGGGACAGAGCCATGTGTCTGCCGCTGTGACGCGGGACATGAGCAGCGGGAGCGTTAGGAGCGCGCGGACGGTCCACGGGAACATGCCGGTACGTACAGAGCGCGGGTGTGTGTAGACTCACGGGACGAGGCGTGATAGATTATGGCGGAGGGAATGGATCTGGCTCCACACACCACGTGCTGGAGTCGCATCAGCCCAATAATTGCTGCGCGCTCGAGCTATATAAACCACAAAAGTCAGCGCACGGGAAACCCCGGCCTCCAAACACTAACCGCTACAAAAACTGGATTCGTTTTTCCGCCTCCTTCATCTTCACCGGCCACTTTTTTCTTCTTTTTTTTACGCAGTTTAACTTTTTAACCCCTCAGACCTTTCTCGTCGCTTATTCCCGGGAAATATGTGCACTTTTCACGCGTCCCGGTTATAAATAGCTCTGTTAAGTATATTGTCCAGATCCTTTGAACACTTTTTGTGTGTACATAGCCTGCGGGCTCTCAGAAAGCCTTTCAGTTTGGCACAAAGACTTCAATGACGCACCTGGAGCAGCGCTTTGACTTCTCATTGAAGGAAGACGCACAAAAGTTTCTGAGCGTCTGGCTCCACTGTTCCATTTCACAGCGGCTCTTTTTGTAATTGTATAGCTCTTTGCGCTCACGGACTTGTATTTGATGTTATTTATATCTTGATTTGAATACGCGTAATGGCGCACGGACTTTAAACTTTGCCATTTAAACTTCCTCGCTGGTTATTTTTCTTGTCGGAGATTTGAAAGCCCTCACAAAAGTTGGAGAGTGTGATCGCTCTTTTTCCACTGGCACACGTCGCCACGCACTCAGCTCCACTCTCCACAGTGTGAGAGACGCAGACAGAGCGCAGCTGGAAAGAGCCAACACAGCCTTGTCGTTTGGTAACCCCCGCTGTTGTGATGCGCATTCCCGTAGATCCCAGCGCCAGCCGGAGGTTCAGCCCGCCGTCCAACAGTCTCCAGCCGCTCCCAGGGAAGATGAACGATGTGAGCTCTCCGGGGCCCGGGCAGCCTGACGCGGCGGCGGCGGTGCCCAGACTGCGGCCGCACGAGAACCGGAGCATGGCGGAGATCATCGCGGACCACCCGGCTGAGCTGGTGCGCACAGACAGCCCCAACTTTCTGTGCTCCGTGCTTCCGTCCCACTGGCGCTGCAACAAGACTCTGCCCGTCGCCTTCAAGGTGAGTAAAGCACGTTTAATCTCCACACTTTTTAACCAAATAGACCTACAAATATTCTTAAATCTTCACGTTTAATTTCGTATCTTTAGTTTTTTTTTTTTTTTACCGCTCCACTTTAAACATTACTCCACGTCAGCCCAAAACGCTTTTAATTCACGTCAAAATCACAATTCTATTTTACAATAACCACCCAAAAAAGACAAAAATCCTGCTTGGATGTTTTATTAATTATGTTAGAATAAATAAAGAACCAAGCACGTGATGATAATGAGTCACAGCTGTAAAAATATTACGAGATAAAAAAAAAAAAAAAAAACTCTCCAAAGGAATTACATTAGTGTATTTTTATTAATACCATCTGATTTTAATTACAAATATTACTTATCGTTTTAGTTTACCGCATCACGTTATAACTGTTATTATATTTTACAAGCAGACTATCAAACAAAGGAGCTTTATAAACACACTTGATTTTCATTTAAGTATAGTTTTCAAGCCATACACTCATTACCGTTAACACATTTTAATAAAGTTCTCTTGTATCAAAGGCGTAATATTTTAACCACAGCAATTTTCTTCTCCCATGATGCTCAGCGGTGAAGGGCCTTTTCATAACGCCGTGAGACATATTATTTCAAATCCCCCATCAAAGACAAAAAACACAGCGAAAATTTGTAGCTGCAGCCCTGGCCGTGAATCAAAAGTGGCACGTTTTTAAAATATAAGTGGGATTTTACTGGTATTATTACTAGAGCTCAGTAATTATAGCAGCTTTGTAGCGCCTACTCGAGTGCTTTTATCTCTATCCAGGGTTCTAAATGATAGCAGCAGGCCTCGGTGTGTGCTTTTGTTTCACAGACATTGTTTGGGAGATTTTCGTCAAACTCGTCAAAAAAACGGGCTTAAATTAAATCCGTTTGTCAACAGTTTGGAAAAGAACCAAGATGTAAAACAAGCGGAACGATGTGTCATTAAAAGAGATGCATTTATTTGTGGGGATGTAAAGAGACGAGACGAGGAGCGAGATCGGAGCCACGAGAATTTAGAACGAGACGAGATTTGAACAGAATTCTGAATATTACAAATTTTACGATTCAGTTTCCACTTTTGGCCTCACAATTTTGGGTTTATTTGATTTCATATTTATCTTTTTTTCTCTTTGGAACAGTAAAAAATGGAACTCACCATCACGTAAACACTTGGAAAAAAAAGATCATTTTTCTCTTGTGTGCACGATTTTGTGGCACGAGATCTTGTACCGTCACTATTTATTTATTATATTTGCTGTTTCCAGATTCTTAAACCCTCTCGTGTGGAAGTACACGAGTCAGTACTACATTTAGTTCTATGGTACTTTTTGTAACAGATAGTCTTTACATTTTAAATCTTTAAATTATGGGTTTATTGTACTAATATCCAGCTATATGTCTAAAACCGCAAACCATAATTTGCATATTACTGACACCAGTAATCTGACTCTCCTCCAGGCCTATAACACGATGTTTTGACGTCACTGGAAACACAAAAATATATAAATCTATCTGTTTAAATTGTACATTTATAGTGCTGCTGTATTTACAATGCGGTGTGTAATTAGAATTAAATTTTAAATAATAATTATGTTTTAAAGAGCCGATATTACAGTTTTCTGATCTGTTATAATGTTGTTTCTGTGTCAAAAACAGACCTGGAGTTGTGTTTTGTTTCATTCACACATGTTTAACGCACAAATTCTGCAAAATTAGGTTCTTAGACAGTAAACAGGAAGTGCTCCACTGTGTTTTTAAAGTCCATAGATCTCAAAGAGTATAATTCAGGTGATTTCAGTTGTGTAATGATGTATCTTTACTAAACAAAAGGTCAAAAAGTAGCTGCTGACTTTAAAAAAAGTTACCATTTTATGACATCACAAGGTGGAACAGAGCATTTGGAGCTTTGGAGATGTAAACAGACGAATAATAAAGATTTACTCAAACATGTGTGAATGAAATAAAACACAACTCCAGGTTTATTTGTGACGAAGAAACGACGATATAACCAGAGGCGGTGCTACCATTTGGCAAAAGTAGGCGGCTGCTGGGGGCCCCCAAACCTGGAGGGGCCCCCAACCAATTGACCTTAGTGAAAATAATTACTAACAATTAGATTTTCTTTTACTTTTAAATAATAATCATAAGAAAAATAATAACACTAATATGCAATGGGTGTAAACAAAAATGTAAATGTACTCGCAAAAAAGTAAAACTACTTTCAGTTCTGGTTTTCTTGTCGGCGAACAAACTAATAAGACAAGTTTTCAATCTACCATAATTCAAATAAATAGAGATGTGCATGGAAAAACAAACAATACATTTTTAAAACAAAACTAAACTAAACAAAACAAAAAAAAAATGGTGCATTATAGTGAAGGCCCCAAACTCAAGTTCACCTAGGGCCCCCAAATTGCAAACTCCGCCACTGATTATAACATGACTAAAAGCTCACAAGAGTCAGTTTTGTAATATAAGGCTCTTTTAAAAACAGTTCTCCTCTGTCTTGGTGCAGGTGGTTGCTCTTGGCGATATCCCGGATGGCACGGTTGTCACGGTGATGGCGGGGAACGACGAGAACTACTCTGCGGAGCTGCGCAACGCGTCCGGAGTCATGAAGAACCAGGTGGCCCGCTTCAACGACCTGAGATTCGTGGGACGCAGCGGCAGAGGTGAGGTTCACGCAGACCCACAGCGACCCAGCACTGAAGAAAGACGCACTGTGGAACTTTTCTGGTAGAGGGTCCGTCGAAAGATGTTATTGCTTTGTTTGGAATGTTTCCCAGTATGGTGTTAAAGCTTTATATCTTGATGGAGACCAAACCGGACCAAGTTACAGGTCAGATCTGTGGAGAGGCGACCCCACTCACAGTCAGAATGTCTGTTTTTCTAGGTATTTTTTAGTTATAAAACCACCTGTAACTGAATAAATGTAAAGTAGATCTGTTTAATGTCACACTGTGGAACATTCCAGGCAAAGAAATGACATATCCATAGAAACAAGAAGGTGATGAATCCCCAAACAAAAAGTTACACAGTGCAACTTTAATTTTAGAAGGAGAAAAGTAAACATGTATTTTATTTATTTTATGTATTTCATAAACAGTGTCATAACTAGAAGTAAATGAAAAGAAGCACAGAGAAGAGTTACTTGTTGTAATCTGGCCCCTGTTCCAGATAATACATTAACACTAATGGAGTGTTAAAATTGACTCTCACAGAATCAGTTTGAACATTTTCTCAGGGTTTATATGAGTCCAATCTGTTCTAGAGTTAATTTAACATTTTTGGAAATGTTCATTAAGTAACACTGGACCAAAGTTCCTGTTTAACCCCAAAATCAAGAGTTATATTAACATGTTGAGAGTAAACAGATAACACTTTTTAGAGTTATCCTGATTTAGCTAAACAACACACAGAGGTGTTTGATTTTTACACTTTATTTTAGTTCATTTAAGATGAAACTATGAACAAAACTGGTTCCAACTTCTCTCTCGTGGGACTCCAACCCCCATTTAACTTTCAAACAGTTAAAATAACATGTTTTGTGTTAAAAACAACTCTGAGATATTTTACCCTGAAATTTTAACCCTCCAGTTTTTGCTGTATTTATTTAAAACATATACAAACAAAAGCAATATCACATTTATGAGCTGATGCTTCTAATTCAGAATCCTTTAAGGTGTAATGCTTGTCTCTTTACCTGGAATATTCCACAGTATTAAATGTATCTCAATTGTGATGATTCACTTTTAGTTTTTTTTTTTACTGCTAGAAAAACCTTGAAAAACAGGCATTCTGACTCTGAGTAGGGTCGCCTCTCCATGGATCTGACCTGTAAATTGGTCCTAACTTCTACTGGTGACACCTCTGTAACTTCTCCAGTGTGACGCCCGTAGGCCCTGTGCAGGTCGCCGCGGTAACAGCAGCAGGAGCTGTTAGTGCAGTGGTGTAGATTAGTGGTTTCATTCTCTCTACGTGGCAACCACAACATCATCTGCCCCCAAACCCATGCACCTACTGCCCCCACCCTCACCCTACTGCCCCAAACACCTCCACCCTCACCCTACTGCCCTACTGCCCCCACCCTCACCCTACTGCCCCCCAAACACCCCCACCCTCACCCTACTGCCCCTACTGCCCCCAAACACCCCACCCTCACCCTACTGCCCCCACCCTCCACCCTACAGCCCCAAACACCCCCACCCTCACCCTACTGCCCCCTACTGCCCCCAAACACCCCCACCCTCACCCTACTGCCCCCACCCTCATCCTACAGCCCCCAAACACCCCCACCCTCACCCTACTGCTCCCTACTGCCTCCATCCTCACCCTACTGCCCCCACCCTCACCCTACTGCCCCCATCCTCACCCTACTGCCCTTTACTGCCCCCACCCTCACCCTACTGCCCCCAAACACCCTACCCTCACCCTACTGTTCCCTACTGCCCCCACCCTCACCCTATTGCTCCCTCCTGCCCCCACCCTCACCCTACTGCTCCCTACTGCTCCCAACCTCACCCTACTGCCCCCACCCTCACCCTACTGCCCCCAAACCCCCCACCCTCATCCTACTGCCCCCACCCTCACCCTACTGCCCTCACCCTACTCCCCCCTACTGCCCCCAAACACCTCCACCCTCACCTTACTGCTCCCTACTGCCCCCACCCTCACTCTACTGCCCCCTACTGCCCCCAAACACCTTCACCCTCACCCTACTGCTCCCTACTGCCCCCACCCTCACCTTACTGCCCCCTACTGCCTCCAAACACCCCCCACCCTCCCCCTACTGCCCCCACCCTCCCCCTACTGCCCCCACCTTCACCCTCCTGCCCGCTACTGTCCCCAAACCCCTTCACCCTCACCTTTTAGGCCCCTACTGCCCCCTCCACCCTCCTCCACCCTCACCCTACTGCCCCCTCCAACCAGTATAATGCCATACTGTGGAATATTACAAGCAAAGCCATGAAGCAGGATGCTCCACCCTCAACCCACTGCCCCCTACTGCCCCCACACCCCTCCTCCACCCCCCTCCACCACAGCCTGAGTCATCCACAGCTCAGTGTTTTCACATGGAGGCCAGACATGAGCTTTAACAGTAACAAAAGGTCAGCAAAAAACAATCATACATCTAAGATTTTCAGTTTAGTTTCTTATTTCAAACATGTGTCTTTTACATACAGTTTAACCTACACATGTGGGTCCGGTCAAGTGGTAACGGAGGGAAACAGGGGCAGATTTTTGACATTCAAATGTCTCTTATTCAGAAACTAGAGGGACTATTGAAATAAGTAAGTATCAGAATGTAGGAAAGAGTTACACTCCAACAGGGTCAAGTTAAACCTGTGATATTCTTTCAAGTTGTTGACAAAAAATTTAAAAACTCATGTCGGTAACGGAGGGAATGAAATATGCAGCACTTTTTGGGCAATAAATCCAAACAGTGATAACTAGTGGTTCTCACTTACATATCCTTAACAAACTGGTTTGAATATTTGCTTCATATAGTTTTCTACCATATGGTACAAGATTAGGTTGAAAAACCTCTTACTTTTTGACTGAGATTTTTTATTAAGAAAGGTCATGGTAACGGAGGGAAAAGTAACGGAGGGAAAATTGTGCAAACAAGTAGAAGGTGCAGGATTTTACATAATTTGTCAACTTTTTTCTTCTGAATACTTTAATATTACTTCAAAATGAAAGGAAACTATTTCTATAAAATATGTCAGTCCTTCCAAGCAAATTTTTAGCATTTCAAATGCATTTAAAAAAAAAAAATCATGTACCTTCATCAACAGTTCAAAGATGGAATAACACAAGATATGATGAAATACATCCATTTATTTACATGATTTGCAGGTCTTTGAAATGTGGGAAATAATTTTTGTTCCATGTTTCATACATGGTCTGTTTAAAACGTATGGAACTTTAGAACCAAAAACGGTACAGAAAAAAGGTCAACAGTTTCATAAACTAGAGTACATATGTATCTGTTCAATACATTTTTATATCAGATGCATTAACTTGAATATTTGGCCTTGTGTTTACTTCTGCTTGACCAGGCCCATGTATTACTTTATTAATCAGACAGTGCATATAAAAACAAGATCAAAATTAACAATCAAGGAGAGATATTACATAGAAAAATGGATATCTCAAATCATTTTTATGAATTTGTTTTTTACAGACATTTTTGTATTTTTATTTTTTCATGTCAAATTTTTCAGGCTAAACTACGATGATTTTATAAATAAGTGCTGCTGGTACATATAAGGAAATACGCTTTTAAATGTGCACGGTGCAACTTTTCTGACCACCATCTTAGAAATCCCTGAACAATTATTAGAAACTGAAAGAATTGAACGCTCTCATATCGCTTAAGGGCTCCATATCACGCTGTTTCCACCTTGTGATGTCACTGCGGTCACACAGAAACCGCTTCACCGTGTTATTGAACTCCACACACCTTCACTAGAATCATTCGGGTCATTTCAGCTCTGGAATCTCGACTGAACTGAAGGTAAAAGGAGATGTTATCTTGAAAACTACCGCTTCATGACATCACGAGTTGGACCGGAACATTCTGAGGTTTGGAGATGTAGACAGACTAATGATAAAGAGTTATTCAGACATGTGTGATTGAAACAAAACACAACTCCAGGTATGTTTTTGAGGAGATAAGACGTGATAAGAATTGTAATAATTATAATTGTACTTGACATTTCAGACACCTCAGACACCTCCCATAAGCCGATAATTGCTTTGCTGTATAATTAGCTATTATCCTTATCCATATCAGTGAACATCAGACGTATAATTTTGCTATTGTCCTCGTCAGGAATATCATCATTAATTTCTCTAGACAAGTAAAATGATCTAAGACGTTTGGAAAAAATAACGAAAACGCATCTTGCTACACTTAAAGCTGCGTTGCGTAACTTTTCAGGTGGAGGGTCCGTCAAATACTTTTCTCCGTGGACATTAAACATTTCTTCTGTACGTTTATTCCATTACAGGTGGTTTTAGAGCTCAAAAATACCTAGAAAAACAGACATTCGGACTGTGAGCGGGGTCGCCTCTCCACAGATCTGGCCTGTAACTTGGTCTGGTTTGGTCTCCGTGAAGATAGAAAGGTTTAATCCATTACTGTGGAACATTCCAGACAAAGCAATAACATTTATTTGTACTTAAAATTAGAAACAAAATCTAACATTGCTTGTGTTACGAAAAATTGGTAGATCATTTTAGTCGTCAAGTCGAATCTGCTCAAATAAAGTAAAACGTTCTTAATAAGGATGTAACAATAATCGAAATATTGTGATATCGTATCGTCAAAAGTCTCTCAATAATATCGTGGGCCGTCACAATATATCGAATTACAAGTTCCTTTGCTTAAATACATAGTTTTACAGAAGCAACAGCTTATGAACATCAGAAACTACATATCCCATGATTCATTTCAGCGCAGACAACATGAAGAAATATGTTTTTTACTTGAATTCTTGAGATTACGATGGAAATAATTCACACCAAAATCTTGTCAAGGTATTTTAAAGCCTCTCCGAAATATAAATATCATATCGTATCGTGATAATATCGCACTGAGAGGTTTGGATATCGTTACATCCCTAGGTCTTAATTGAAGTCATTTTAAAGGTGCATTTTGTAACTT